GAGCGCGCTGCAAGAAGAAAGGCAATACTAAGCCACGTGCAGCTGCACCAACAAGCAGTTATTAGCTATGAGCAGAAGGTGTTACAGGAGCGATGTGGGTTTTAAGTCATGGAAGGGGTAACCATAGCTGTTGCCTTGAGAGAGAAAACCAGTAACAAAAGTGTGTTTTGCATCTCAAATAAAGCCATCAGAAGGAAAGATTTCAAACTAGTCTCCTTCTGCTGCTGTCTTGCGCTTTAGTTATGCTCAGTATATGTTCCTCTCACCTTTTGTAAGCAAGCAGGCAGCGTTAGGAGCAAGCAAACCTCTAATCCAGGACAGCACTGCTCCTGCAACACAATGGCGTCACGCAAACTTTAAAATCAAGAGCAGAGTGAAAGTTTGACAAAGCTCTGCTCGATAATTGATTATTTTTTCCCCTTAGGATTTAGTAAGAATATTGACATGCTGTTGTAACTTATGACACTAATAACTTGTCTGTCTAAAAGCCAAAGTGATTTAAGTTTCTACCAGATTAGTCAAACTTCCTGATCCTGTGAACTTCCTGGTAAAATCTTGGTATGACGGAAAACTACAGGACAAATGCTGAATATCTCAAAGAGCATAGAGTTTTTGGTATAGCCCACAAGCAAAGAGAATGATAGTTCCTTGAGGTCCCTTTGCGCACTTATGGGACGGAGGAGTAAGAGCATTGCTGAGCCCCTGGGCAATGAGGCAACACCAGGCTTAGCACTGTAATAACTACTTAACCTTGCTAACCATCACATTTACACTGCTTGTCATGGAGAGCAGTGCTTGAATCATGTGCAAGCTATGCTGTTGAACAAACAGAAGTAACCTTTGTCCTTTGTTTTCACTTTCTTTCCACTTTCATGTCTCTTCTTTCTTTAATAGTTGCAGTTTAATTGAGATTGGGTTTTTTTGGGGTTTTCACCAGAGTGCCCCAATGGCATTGTTAAGATTTCTGTGGAATTAAAGCAGGGAGAGTCATATCCCTGAATGCTCGTTAAGAGAAACAATTGTTAATGGGTAGCTTCTTGCTTCTTGTTTCTATATATGCTAATATATATTTTTTTAAATAAAATTACTTGGCAATCACTGTGAAGTGTCCCTTTGTATACCATACCATTATGAAGATTCTTTCATGCATAAATAAGGTAGCCCGAGTTTACTCTAGTTTAATCCTCTCTGAGGATGTGAACCTCCATGGCAATTAGCGATTAAGTTACAGTGAACCAAGGCTACTTTGCTCTTGAATGAGTGCATTTACAGGAGTGATTAATGTGCCTTAACACTGAGGTCACTCCTATAGTTGCTTTGTCTTAACTTTTCTAAGTATATCAATGTTAGACATGGCCTACATTTAAGAGACTCATTACTTTTGCGTGAATAATATAACGAAATCAAAGGAAATGGAATTTCAGTGTTAATTTGTGTTCTGCTAAGAAACAGGTGTGGACTTGGACTTTGAAAATATTTGAATATATTTGAAAATATGGTTTGGCCCTGGAAACAGCTCAGGCATATCACTGGAATTCTGGCACTGTATATCTTATAATTTCTCTCTTTAGTACCCTTATGATTTTCATGGCCATAGCATGAATTATATTCTCTTTTCTGTTCTTATTCCCTGTGGCAGATTTTGCCACCTCCTGATAAAGGCTTTCTGTGCCCTTTATGTTCCAAAAACCTGAGCAGGACCTAACAGGGGAAGAAAAGTTTATTGCATCAGATGGGCAATTTGACTCCATAGTCAAAACCCTGTGTCACAGACCAAGATGCTGCCCTAATTTGTTTTAGACATCGTACAATAAAGAGTTAGTGTTGGCGCTGCCCCACAACACTTGAAGTCTAAGTAGTAAGGGAAGAGGCAACAGATGGATGCAGGCAGGTGAGGAAATGCAAGAGATAATATTGGTCAGTGCACTAGCTAAAATAAAATGAACTGGCTAATGAGTTTCAATGCCATTTTTAGAATATCAGAGCTGCATGTGTGTAAGAGGGGGTCATCCTCCTCCGAACTGCCACCCCTGAGTAGCAACAGACCATGGAAGCAGAAGGCTCGCAGTCTCAGTTGCACTTTGGGTCTGCAAAGCCCCTCCTCATCCACTGGCTGTTTCCTACCATCCCTGCTGAAAAATCAGTTTTGGTCGTTTGTATTTCAGCCTACATTCAAAAGAAATGCAGCAGTTGCTATGGTTGTAACATTTCATGGTGGTAGAAATGAGCAGAGTTTCTCTAAAAAAAAGGCAGGGCTTGTAGTCACACCATTGCCCCCATCTGCTGTGCCACGTCCAGACACAGCAGTTATACTTTGCACATTTTAAGAAAATTGTATAAAAATAGTTACAAATTTTGTAAAAAAACAGTTACAATTTTTTTAAAAACCCTTATGCCAAAAAAGTGTATCAGTAATCACGTTGCCTAACATATTCTGTTAGGTTTAAAATATATACATACAGTTAACTGCAGTATGAAATAATTCACAAGCATAACTGAGCTACAACTGTGTCTCAGCACACAATAATTACATATTTTACCTAATAACACGTTCAGTTATGTATTGTGGGTACTTTCATGGACTTCACTTTTTTGTATAATTACCAGTGTTTTAAATCAAATGCTGAGGGCTAAGCATTATTAGATACTCTTTTAAAATGTTTAAAGGATTAGCAAGGATCCCATACTGACTTATTAAGGTAGTCGTATGTAAAATAACTTTCCTTTTAACTGAATAGTTGTACATGAATGTATTTCCTGTGCTCGGTGCTTAACTAATTGAGAGGTTTTGATGTAAGTGTACATGTCAGCAGTGTAACGGTTGCTCCGTTAGTTGTTAAGACATTGTGGTATAGTCTCCACAAACACTGGACATTTCTGGTTTGTGTGCATGTGTATGTTCTTCATTGTTAAAGAACTTGGTAAACAGATAACATTGTTATTACCTCAAAGGCCTAACCCCCCAAATGCTGATTTTTTCCAAGTGGATGTTGGTGCTGCAGGAGATATTACTGTTACTGTAAATGTGGTTAGACACAAAAAAATGTGGACTGCTGTATTTAAAATCGAAATAGAAAAATAAAAACAGTCAAAATGTAGAATGTGCAAAGGATGAGACGTAAAATGGCAGAGAAGCTAGCGGAAGCTGCTATCATAAAATAGCATCTACACTCCCCCTCCATACTAACTAAAACCTGGAAACTACATGATGTGTTGGATTGCAACAATTCTAGTTGTTGTTTTTTCCTCTGTGTCTTTTTCAACTGTATGAATTCTGATGTGAATTTAGGTCATAAAGCAAATGGGTCATAAAGCAAACTGTATCAAAGACCTTGATGCATATTTAAGTACATTTGAAAATCTTCAAGGAATTTAGGAGGATGACTTGATATTAACTGATGAATTTCCAGAAAGACCATCCTAGGGCTGTCAAACAACAAGGATGTCAGTCCAGAATTAAGAGAATAAGTGGATCTTCACGGGCAAATATGCAGAGCATTTTGCTGGTGTTATTGCACTCTGCTAATGCCTTTTACCTTACTCATCACTTGGTGGGTTCACATTCATGATAGGAGAGTCACGAATCAGTAAAATTGACTATTTAGTCAATTAGCTGAATGTTTTATTTTAAGAAGCCTTTTTGTTGTGTTTAAACAGCATGGGAATGGAATAGCTATTGTTTCCCTCAACTGGGGCCATCTTGAGCAATGTTCTCATAAAGCATACTCAAAGAAGAAAAGAGTGGGGAGGCTGCCCCAAGGATTAACATGACAACATAGAGGCTTTGTTGGTAGATCAAAGCTGTTGAACTTCGGATGAGTCGGTTTTGTCCTGGGATATGTTACCTAATCTGCTCTGGTGGACAAGAGATTTTAGCAACTGGGTTAAATGAAATTATAGAAACAGTGGCTGAGTCAGGAGTTGTATTTGCTCTTTTTTGTAGCTTCATGGGAGAATTCAGACCTGGTTATGGTGAATGGGAAACAGTAGACTTGTTAGTCCTGCTTTTCTAGCATCTGCTATTTTATCTATAGAGTGAAGGTTTGTTGAGGGGAAGAGGAGTACATAATGCTTAATTTAACTTACAGTTTGCAAGCTAAGTCAAGTATACCTAGGACATGTAGTACAGGACTGTTTGTTAGCATTTGCATAAATAAAGACTTGTTTGACATTTATAGTCTGGGTGTTGGAGATAAATGCATTAGGTTTCTGCAGTGGGCTCTGGGCCTCTGCCAACAAATGAAGGAATCTAAATAATTAAAAGGATCACAGCTCCATACTCTCGAGTTTCAGGATCTGTGCAATAATTTTTATTCTCTCTATCACAGTAGTATCTGTGCTTCTTTCAACTATCTCCCCTTATCATCACAGATGGGTAGGGATTGTTAAGGCAGATTAAACTGCTGGACATTAAAACCTTGCTAACATTAATGGAAGCTGGACACTTACCTGAGACATGCAGCACAGTACAGAGAAGCCTGGCCTGACACTGTGGATGCTAGCTCCTCACGAGGAGCAGTAAAACCACGTCATGGAGCTACCGCACGCAAGTTATTAACTGCTGTCTTTCAGTACTTAGTAAACCTCATGCAAGGTTTATCAATTTGGCTGTGGAACTCTACCAGTGCAAAAACTGTCTTTGAAACGAATCAAGCTGATAAGATCCCAGCTGTAAAGAGGAGAAGCAATTGTTCTCTGTGCTCCTGGAGTGCTCATGGGCAAACCTCATAAATGAGGTGCTTTGCCCTATGTACACCGGATGGGTATATAGGATAGGTATATAGGCATTGAAAGTCTCCCAGGGTTCTCTACAGCAGTTGACAGCACCAGCCTATTTGCCTGAATCTTTGCCATTTTTGTTCCAACTAGACTTTATTGGTAGCGTTTCAAGGCTTGTTTGAGTTTGTGCTTTGGATCACATTCGTGCTATAAAAGAGGATAATGAGAATTTGAAGATGTCTTCTGTACTGATATCCCTGTGTCTTTTTCCTTCTTTACAGCATTTTGTTTGCAGACATTGTGGGGTTCACTAGTTTGGCATCACAGTGTACTGCCCAAGAGCTGGTGAAGCTGCTGAATGAGCTTTTTGGCAAATTCGATGAATTAGCTACAGTAAGTATAACATTCTTATTTCAATTTAATTTAAATTCCCTTCTGAAAAATGATGCATGAGTTACACATGTTAGAAATCTGTAGTAGACTGATTTAGCCCCATGTGTCATGAATTTCTAAAGCTTCCATTTTTTATTAATATTCTGGAGAGAAAACAGTCTATTTTAATTGTTTAGGAAAGAAGCTTAAGTTGCTATTTTTAAATATACTTTTCTTCCTTCTCTTTGGAGACCATCAGTGTTCTTCATTTGTATTGTTTACACAAAATAGAGAAAATATTTCAATATTTACATTTCTGTCCTGCATGGAAAAAAACAGGATAATGGAAAATATGAGTATTGTCAGTATGGCATAAAACTACTTTCTGTGATAATAAGAAGCTAGAGATTGAAATTAGTTCTTCACAGAGAGCATTCCTTGTCACAGAAATGATGGTAGCTTTTCAGAGAGGCTAAATTAGTCCCAAAAGGGTGCAAATTATTAA